TCTATGAAATTGTAGTATGTAGCTGAATTTTTAATTCATGCTCAAGGTGATGCATTTGTGTCTGCAATATACATGTACACTTTAGTGGAAAAATACTGAGAAAAGAACTTTCTTTTTTTGAAATTTTAGCTTTAGATGCAACCATTGTGCTATAATACAATTATATATAAAGGAGGACTTTACAATAAATAAAAGAAAAAATATGATTGAGGCTTGGAAAATAAAGCACTTGAATTCATACCTTCATTGATTTTATTTTAGTTCTATCAATATACATTGACAGTGGAGGTCATACTGTATATTGACTTTGGAATGTTGCTCAGTAACTTGTAACATCAATTACTTATTTGTGTTGCCCATAATTGAGAACAATTTTTCTTGCAGGTGATGTGAAAAGTCACTGTTACTAGTGATAAGGATAAGGTCACTTGGGAGAGAAAAACTCCATTGTGTCTGATCAACAGACATTAGAGAACACTAAAAACACCCTTAAATATCTCTACAGGAAAACATTTTCTGCCTGAAATGGCATTAAATATTTCACACCATTTATGCATTCAATGCCATTTTGCTGAAATCATCTTAGCATGCTAATAGCTCTTTAATCCTTTAGATGCAAATTAATTTCAGCATTTACACATATTATGGATTTGATGCACCATTTAAAAGTCATATCACCAAAGCAAAATATTTAGCCGTTTAACGTTAAAATTGAAGTGATGCAGCCACAAAAATGATGGAATAATTCTTACACAGACATTGTAGATAGGTAGGTATCTAAATATATGGGACAAATAGTGGAAATAAATAAGGCACTGCAAAACCATAAAGGAATAAAAAAAGAAAGTAACTTCTTTTGTGCCCTTGGAAAGAAAACATCTTTAGGAAAGTCTGATAGACAGACAATTTAAAGGCAAACTGCTTATGAGTCAGTTTTATTTTATTTTTTGAAGTTAATATATTTGTGAATTATATATTTGTATTATGTATATATTAGTATTTTGTTACTATTTTGTTACTCTTTATATTACCAAGATGCATGAAACAAATGTCACAAAGCATTGTTCATTTTTTGAAGAGGGAGTACAGCAGAAGCTGTTGTCTTTCAGTATGCTTCTGTCTAATTAAAATTATGTATTGAACCTTATGGAGTACGCAAAGAGGAGAGAGGATGGGTCACTCCTAAGTTTTGTGTTTGATTTCAGCTCAAGCTATTGAGATCTATAAAAGCAGTAATTCATCTTGTAAATATGTGAAACACCACATATTGAATGGAAACAGGAAAATATGAAAAATGTTTAGGTAGTATTTCATAGTCTCAATCTGATGACCTGACTTTTCTTTACTGCAGTTAATTAATTCAGTTAGATTAGCCTGTGATTTGGCAGTGAAGGAGCAGCAACATATTGATGAGATCATCTTTATACTCTCCTTCTTTTCATCACAGGTGCATGTATGACAGCTAAATATACCAAGAAAACAGGAAATATACCTAAAACTGGAAGCACAGATGATTTTGTCACTTCTGGTTACAAGCTGTGATTTCTCCAGCTGTTGTGGCTACTTTGGGGTTCATAGGTGACATTAGGTGTGAAATATCCATAAAGAGGACCTGTCACTTTCTCCATGCTATCACATTGGGGGCCTAATACTGTCTGGAAGTCATGATCTCTTGCCATTTGCTACTTTACAGTGCTCATACAATTGTTATACAGTAACGATAATCCTTCATAAAACTGTATTGAAATAATTATCAAAAGAAAATGTTAATTGCCTTCTGCAAGTTTCAATTTAACCAATACTGCCATATATTTAAACTGCCATATATACTATATGTAAACCTCTTTAATGAGCAGGGAAAGAAATGAAAGTAGAATTAAAATACAAGTAACAGGCTTTCTCTTGCTTTTCTGAGCAAGTATGTTCAAGAAATATAGTATTCTTGACAGCAACTGGCAGATGTGTTTACAGATACACAGATATACTTTGACATGGATGAAAGGCTATATGTGGGTTTCAGAAGAAAACAGAATTTTGAGAACAGACTTTAACTTGTTTTAAGAAAGCCTGAGATAATGGTATAAAATCCATGAAAATTTACAGTATGTTTTTTTCAGAGATTCTCCAAAGACCAAATACACTTTTTGATACTCCCAACCTTAATAGGGTCCAGTCCTTGAATTCTATATAAATATTTCACTTCCTAGAACATCCACATAAATAAAAAAAACTATTGAATTTCTGTAGACCTTGATTTTTATTTGCACTGTAACTCTAAGTCAGATTATATAGAACATTGTGTAGCACTTTGTCCATGTTTACTACAAGGCAGCACCAAGAAATCCAAGGAACCTTTACATTAGCTTACTTTGGCACATTCCAAATCTACAGTTATATTTTAGCGTCAATTAAAGCATATACAGATGTATAGCATATATGTGCAATTATTGTGCTACCCACTGCTTAATACTCTACTCAAGCACCAATATTTTCAGTTTGTATGGCCAGTCTACAATATATTCAGCTGCAGATACTTGGCTTGAGAAGCCATATCTAGTGTTTGGTATGTCCATCTCCAAACAAAAATCAAACCTTTAATTTTGTTTTGGATAGAACAGCAAAGGTTTAGAGCCTCTGTCTGGTTTTATTTTCATCTATGCTGATATAGGAAGAGATGTGAAAGCTCTTCAATGGGAACAAAAACACATTTTCAGTAAAATTAGAAATGGGTAGAACTACTGACAATGTTTGTAGTGTTTTCTGTGCCTTCATTTTTACTTGACAATCACACATTTCTTGTACATTTCTTGAATAGGTATCACAGAGACAGCACATGAGAGAAAATCTCTCCAAGAAGGGCTCAGGCAATATAAAAACCTGACAGGGATTGTAACTTTTCCCCACTCTCTATCCATAATCCAGAATTTTGGCTTAGCCAGTAAAGAGTAACAATCTGAAAATTACTGCAACTCATAGAACCCAATAATGTTGTACTTAAGAGCAATACAAATAGTAGTATAAGATGACTTCATACATAGTTCTTTATTTTGTTCTTCTCCTTTATGCATAACTACCTATGTTAATATAATAATTGCATTCAATTGATAGTTAATGGAAATGTTCATTTTTTTACAACATTAAAAATATTCATGTTTCTTTTAGCTTCTGTTGCATCAACATGTAATGATCCTGGAGTTCCTCAAAATGGTAGCAGATATGGAGACACTAGGGAGCCGGGAGATACCATAAACTTTCAGTGTGATCCTGGGTATCAGCTACAAGGACAAGCTACAATTACCTGTGTGCAGCTAAATAACCGATTCTTTTGGCAGCCAGACCCACCAAATTGTATAGGTATTTCATTTTTATTAGGCTTCCTTTTATGATGTCCCATTATCTTGTTTCAATATGTTCATAAAGTTAAAACAATTAAAATCTATACATTCACAAATCAACTCTGTCTTCAATTTATAATTACAATCAGATGATCACTGAACATTTCATCATAATCGCACACAATTAAGTTAATAAAAAATATATTTAAAATCAGTCTTTTTTGCACTTTAATACTATTATTGCACTTTAATAGTAGGTGGAAATACTGATTTATGCACTATATTATGATGGGAGATGTTGTAAGGGGACCAAAACAAATTTGTATCTATTGTACCACATGTTCCACAATGGTCTTGCATGTTAACACCAGGAAAACATTTATTAGATATAACATTTGTTAAACTCCAGAGTTTCCAAGCATTGGTAGCAAACCATAAACTCTCAGGATTAAAGTCTCATATAATATTTATTATTTTGGGATAAAAGTGCAGTTAAGAAGATATTCACTTCCAAAAGCTGAAGAAAATCACTTTGGTATGTGCTACCTATCTATAAGCATCTTTCATCATTACATATCATCTCTCCATCTAATTAGTGGTACAGCTTTCTAAGAATGCAGACTTAAATGTATGTAAAGTCAAAATGTTTGGATAGAGTAGAGGAATACTTCATCTACACCTGCACCCTATTTACATCTGCACCCTAACTAGTAGGTTTCGCTTCACTTCCTGCCTCATATATGCAACAGACAGTGAGGTAAAAATCTTAGACAGTTGTCATTCAAACATCTGTGCCCATCGGAAGATATCCCTATTTCCTGTTCCACTGACAACTGTAAAATTTTGGAACTTTACTAACGTTCAGTCTCGGTGACCATAGTCCCCAAGACAAATAGACAAAAATAAATCTCCCCAACAGGGACACTGTTTTGGCATTAAATACACTTACTGAGACAACACTTAACAGTTTATGCATCAAGATAGCGTTTTCAAAATTATATTTCAGTTACAGGTAGTGTTGAGCCTTCCATTCATTTAAGAGGTTTAGATTTTCACACTCACATTATGATGTTCCCTTATTTTTACATTGTATTCTTCATAGTTTAAAAAAATGGAACGCACTTGTAATGGGTATAGCAGGTGTAAAGATTTTGTAAATTATGTGTGTAGATCTCAACCCTGTTGTCCCTGAAGGACACCAGCAGCTAAACAAAACTTTGAAATGATATGTGTTGGATAAAGTGAGCATTTAAACAGTATTTATGAGACATTTATTCACTTATTCAATAAACATTACAAGGAGCAAATTGCTAATCTTAAAATAAGAACTTCAGTCAGAGATATTCCAAAGCCTTGCAGTGGGGGTTAAGGGTTAAGTGTTCATTTTCACCTGGGGATGAAAAAAAAGCATATACTCACCTGAACCTCACAGAGGTCTGGCTGCTAGACTGGTCCCTGCATCCTCTCTTTACCTTTTGGTGGTCTAAGCTCCTATGAGTCATCACATTCTAGGGACATTCCATCGCTGGAGCAGTGAAAGAGACAGGCTTAATGGATCAGTCTACAAGCCATTTGGCTCCAAGGTTCAGGTGAATATATTTTTTTATTTTAATTCCTAGAAAAAATGGTCACTTAACCCTTGCAGTGCATGGGTAGCCCCACTGAAAGGGTTAAGAATATTTATTCTTATTTATGCCTGGAGTTCTTCTTTAAATACAGTAATCCATTCAAAATAATCAAAATTCACTCTGCTAAAGTTCGGTAGGGTATACACGTATATATTTTCTTTGTTCAACCTGTGGGCTGAATAAAGAAAATATATCAGATTCCTCTATCTATGCTGAGTAGCATGAATGGACAAATCTCTCATTGCTTCTATTGAATTCTGACAGTGGCTAACGAAATTCACTCCACTGGGGACCCTATTCCTTTAGCAGAAGTTGGTAATTTTGCTGAAGGAATACGGTCACCAATGGAGTTAATTTCAGCTAATTCAGCAAGAAATTCACTCCATGTGTACCCAGCTTTAGCCTGGTACACTCTTGATTCTGAGCATTTGCTATTTTTTACTGCACTAGTAAATGAGCACTGTTATTATTCATCGTGGAAGTAATATTGTGTATGGATAATAATCTGATTGACTTCTGTTTCTTCTTTTCTTGTTGTAACAGCTGCTTGTGGTGGAAATGTATCAGGCCCATCAGGAGTTATTTTGTCACCCAACTACCCTCAACCTTACCCTCCTGGAAAAGAGTGTGACTGGAGAATAAAAGTAAATCCAGACTTTGTCATTGCCTTGATATTCAAAAGGTACACATTATAGAGAACAACAAAGCTATGTAGCAGGTTCTTAAATGTCAAACCTATAAATGACATAATTTGTCACTTCATTGGGCTCTTAATTACATTTACTAACCAAGCTCCAGAGCATACATTCTGTACCTGCACCATGAAAATTGACATGTGGCAGAATAACAAACACATTTTTTAGCTTTCCAGCAATGCTTGAGTGCCAAATGTAAACATTAAACAGAACATGCCAGATGCATCAAATGCTGATAGAAAAATCACAAGTCTGTCT